ACTATCAGGGAATGTGTAATTTCTTATTCTCCTAAGGGCTTTAACAGATAAACGATTTAGATCGGACCAGCGGGAATCTACATCATTTATATAGAAGTGTTGAGCAGATGTTATATACGCCTTTAGGCTGAGCTCAAGCAAGAGAGCTGAATGATAAAAATTGGGACCAAAAAAACATTTCGGTGTTAAACGCTATGTAATAGAACCATATGCCGACAATATCATACGTAACCGATCGAATATCATATATAGAAGTTGTCGGAAATTTGGAAAAATCGATTAACGTCTCTAGGCAGCGTGATAGGACAGATTTGGGGATCGCCATTGAAATGTCAGAAAGCGGATATACTAACGTTTTCCAGATCAAACACTAGCTTCCAGGATTAAGGCCGAGGTATTACGGAATGTGTAAAAATTGCAATAGTGGTTAGTGTTCTAGTCTGGTAGACCGGAGGTGGTGGGTTTGTTTCCCACCTGAGGCACTGGTAAAGGAACGCACAACAGGCCCGATAGAGGCCTAGGTGCATTTCTTCGGATTTGATGTATACTCATCCACCTTTCAAACTAATTAAAAAGTGCGATAAGGACTCCAATAAGGCAATCTGCGAATCATAACTCGAAATATAAATTGTCTCAAATTTGGAAATATTGATCACAGATAAATGATCATGATCAAGTGGAACTTTAGTTTTAACACCCATGGAAGTCTGCTGCTACACGAACGTCTCTAGGCAGGGAGATAGGTCAGGCAGAGAAATGTCAGAAAGCGGATACACTACCATTTTCCATATCACAACACTAGCTTCCAGAAGGATGATATTACAGAATGTAAAAATGTGCAACAAGGACATTCCAGTGGTAAACTTCGAATCATAACTCGGGAATTGTCGGTATCGAAAAAGCTAAACACTATGTGAACTAGAGACGACTCACTACTGCACCCTCGGGACTGGCAAAGAATATGCGCATGTGGCAATTCTTAAACATGGACACCGAACCATGTACAAGCACTTTGTTCAAGTATAGTGCGGTTTGACTGATTTCAAAACCAATCACTGTGCCTGATGAAGGCTTTAATGTTCTCCAATATTACACCGAATATCTGTAAAGTAGGCCACTGACAAAGAAGGTGATCAATAGATTCATTCCCCTTTTCAACCTGATAGCTTCTACAAAATACGTTATAGGCTAAACCAAGTCTCTTGAGTGGTCTCTCTGGTTGTATTTTCAAATTTCCGAGCTCCCTGGTACGATGTGGTCAATGCATCCGAAAATGTAAGTCATTTTCACTAACGTCTATCCTACTGGTTGGTTCGAATTCAACTTTCACCATTGATTGTATTTACTAATTTCCGAGCTTCCTGGTACGAAGTAAAAACAAATCTATGCTGAATTCTCTTAAGTAAAGCTCTTTAAAAATGTCCTAAATACTTCAGTTCGACAAAGGATCAATGCAACCGAAAAAGTAAAATCATTAATGTCTAAGCTTCTGGTTAGTTCTAGTTCGGGTTCCGCCATGAATACACTCTTTGCAAACGAGAGTGAAGATAGTCGTCACTTTAGTGTCTCCTTTTGTAAGCGAGAACAGAGACAGTCATCACTTTACTGTACCCAAGTAATATAGAGAGTAGACACTTAAGAAACTAACTTAAGCACATGTTTAAATAGCTAGACAACTGGCTTTGTCGGGATTGTCACACCGCACTGTTGGTTAAATACTATTATTATTATTTACTCTGCTATAGTTCTATGCGGATTTGCAGAGATTAAGTCAAGTAAACATTTCCGTACTTAAAAAATTTCAATACATTTTGTTAGTTTTACTGTCTAATTCTAGCTAAAACATGTTAATCTCTCAAGAACGGTTACGTAGAAAATTTTCGTTATTATTCCATTACACTCTTTTAGGAAATAGGAGTAGATACGTACTTAAAACCACATGCGTTTTTAATGGAAAAGAATGATTGCGAAGAGCGTAACATGAATATATTGTATATTTAAAACAATTTGAAACTTTAACCAAAAAAAAAACATAAAACTGAACTTATAAATAATTAAAGAATAAAGTATTCAAAAATGAACAAAGATAAAAGCATTTTTTAAGTGCTCCATAATGTATTATGTATTTAATTGAAAACTGAAACCCCTGGACTGATACATAAAACACAAAAAGTATTAAATATACAACAGCATACAATATACCAGCGAATTGTTAAGTAAAATGTTATAAAAAAAAAAACTCCAAGACAGTCGTTGACAATTTAAAGTTTCGAAAATTAAGTTTAATAAATGCCTTAGCATTCGTCCAATGTGGAATTTATTCTCAAGTTTGATTCTAACACCACTGCTATTCCGTCTCAGCAGCTTAGAAATGGCAGGCGTGTCAAAACTAATTTTCTGCAAATCCAAACTTTAACATTTCCCTGGGTTTTGCTTGTACTTTGTTTTTTTACATTTTATTACAAAATTGAGATCTTTCATTCCACCCACTAATAATTTATTAAATTCAATAATAAATAAGCGTTTGCAAAAGAACGCATTTCATTTTAGTGTCGCAAAATGTGATAAAAACATTTCACATGCTGCGAACATTGATGTACACATCAATAAATATGGTTAACCTGCTGTTATCTTTAAAGAACATTTGGTTTATTCTACATCTGTACCAGAATTAATGATAGATATTTAAAGAATATAATTTGTCAAAATTAAAATACTTTAAAAAAAATATTCCTAGTAATATGTATTAACTCCAAAGACCAATAGCTTGGAGCTCAAGGTATTGCCTTTAGTCGTCATTCCAAAGCAATCGAATATTTGTATCCAAACGTGGTTTTAAATAGGCTAGTGAGCTGAATAGTAATACCCGATGTCTAGAAATGGGGTGCAGTCAACAATCACTTTTAAACTGGGGGTCCTTTCCTATACCATAGATTAGACTATAGACCAAAATCTAGACTAAGCGAAATACAACACTATAGACAAGACTGTAGACTAGACTATAGACTAGACTATAGACTAGACTAGACTAGACTAGACTATAACTAGACTATAGACTAGACTATAGACTAGACTATAGACTAGACTATAGACTAGACTATAGACTAGACTATAGACTAGACTATAGAACTAGACTATAGACTAGACTATAGACTAGACTATAGACTAGACTATAGACTAGACTATAGACTAGACTATAGACTAGACTATAGACTAGACTATAGACTAGACTATAGACTAGACTATAGACTAGACTATAGCTAGACTATAGACTAGACTATAGACTCGACTATAGACTAGACTATAGACTCGACTATAGACTAGACTAGACTATAGACTAGTCTATAGACTATATATAGACTGGACTATAAACTAGACTATAGACTAGACTATAGACTAGACTATAGACTAGACTATAGACTAGACTATAGACTAGACTATAGACTAGACTATAGACTAGACTATAGGCTAGACTATAGACTAGACTATAGGCTAGACTATAGACTAGACTATAGGCTAGGCTAGACTAGACTAGACTATAGACTAGACTATAGACTAGACTATAGACTAGACTATAGACTAGACTATAGACTAGACTATAGACTAGACTATAGACTAGACTATAGACTAGACTATAGACTAGACTATAGACTAGACTATAGACTAGACTATAGACTAGACTATAGACTAGACTATAGACTAGACTATAGACTAGACTATAGACTAGACTATAGACTAGACTATAGACTAGACTATAGACTAGACTATAGACTAGACTATAGACTAGACTATAGACTAGACTATAGACTAGACTATAGACTAGACATAGACTAGACTATAGACTAGACTATAGACTAGACTATAGACTAGACTATAGACTAGACTATAGACTAGACTATAGACTAGACTATAGACTAGACTATAGACTAGACTATAGACTAGACTATAGACTAGACTATAGACTAGACTATAGACTAGACTATAGACTAGACTATAGACTAGACTATAGACTAGACTATAGACTAGACTATAGACTAGACTATAGACTAGACTATAGACTAGACTATAGACTAGACTATAGACTAGACTATAGACTAGACTAGACTATAGACTAGACTATAGACTAGACTATAGACTAGACTATAGACTAGACTATAGACTAGACTATAGACTAGACTATAGACTAGACTATAGACTAGACTATAGACTAGACTATAGACTAGACTATAGACTAGACTATAGACTAGACTATAGACTAGACTATAGACTAGACTATAGACTAGACTATAGTAGACTATAGTCTAATAGATTATAGTCTATACTATAGTCTACTACAGTCTAGTCTATAGTCTAGTCTATAGTCTAGTCTATAGTCTAGTCTATAGTCTAGTCTATAGTCTAGTCTATAGTCTAGTCTATAGTCTAGTCTATAGTCTAGTCTATAGTCTAGTCTATGGTCTATGGTCTAGTCTATAGTCTAGTCTATAGTTTAAATTTCTAAATAGTAGTTTCAATATTAAACTTTCATTAAATAACCTTCAAAACAATGATTTTAAATAATTGTTTTATAGTACTTAGTGTAAGTTGTAGATGGTTACAAAAATTCAACCAATTGTTTTTATACTTTATCAAAAACCTACTACCTGCAATATGATGAAACCAGCCAATGAAAAGAATAGTTGATATTTATTTGTTTGAAAAAAAAAGTAAATAAACAAGAGCAAAATAAACAAAAGACAAATAGGTATAATAAAAAAAAAAAACAACAACAGCATTGAACTAAAGAAAATCAATGAATGAATTTATATTGAATGAATTGTCATAAATATAATAACAACAAAACTAAAATATTAAGAAATGAATTGCAAAAAAAAAAACAAAATTTTGACATGCATATATTGACAGTATTAAGGTCAATTGAACTTTTTGTAAACAATTAAAATAAAAAAAAGAAATATACAATAAATTAGAGCAAGAAAAAAATACAGAAAAAAACTCACCTGTTGTAAGACAAGGATGGAGAGTGTTAGAGTTATTTAAAACAAGATTTAATAGCGGTTACTTGTAAAAAATTAAGTGTATTTGTTGTTGCTAGAGCTAAAACTATTTATTAATGTTGTTGTTGTTGTTGCTGTAGAGATTGTTTTATTTTTAATGACGTTTGTTGCTGGACCACGGTCAAACATAATAAGCACTTGTCGGTATTTATCGTATACAAAACACGGACGACACACAAACCGAAAGATGATAAACACACCACGAATAAATGAAAAAAAAAACAAACCAACAACAACTTAAGAAATAGCCAAGGCAAACATTAGACACAGAAAATAAAGCTGAAAACAAAATCTAATAAGAAAAAACAAACGCACATTAGATATTTGTGTATTATTTTTATTCTCTAGTCGCCTTTCTTTATGTCATTCTAGTGTTTTTAGTTAAATTTCTTATTCCTTTTAAAAAGTGTTTTGCATTTTGTTTTGTAATGAAATGTGTAAACTAAACCATAGAGTATTATTTGAAATTAAAAAGTATAAAATTAGTATATTATCAACAAACTAAAGAAATTTTAATCATTAAACATTAAATACAATGTATGTTTTATTATTTGTTGTTTTTGCTTTTGTTATTGTTGTATTTAGTGGGTTACTAAGAAGAGGGTGGTTTCAACAAATATTTGTTGTTTCCCCATACACAAATTTTTTGATTACTTTTTCTTTATTATTCATACTACCAGCACTTAAGAAATCTTTAAATATTGAAATCTTTTAAATAAATATATTTAAGTTTATCTTTTAACACTTTTTCTTAAAATTTTACTTCTAATTGTCGATTAACTTTGAAAAAAAATCCCGAATTCTTGAGTTTTTTTTTTCATTTTTCTTATATATTTCTTCTTCTTAATGCCTTAAGTTCCTTTTGCTTTAAATTTTTTTTTCACTTATAATTCCTTACATTTTTTATTAAAATTTGTTTGTGTTATTTTCCGTATTGATTTTTTAATTTTCCAATACTTCGATGAAATTAATTAAATGAGTATTAAATGGTTTTTATTAGAAAATTAACAATTTGTTGTATTTTCTTATACGAACACACGCACACTCAGTCTTTTTTTAGTTCGCTGCTATTAATTTTAATTAAATTCACTTCACCATTCACCACAAATATCTTTCGCAAACTGAAGTTAAAAAAATTGTTGTTGCCCCTTATTTAAGGCCGCAGGAAAAATGTATTAATATGGTAGCATTACAGCTTAAATACAATTGGAACCGCTGTCGACAAACCACACAAAAAGATCAAGCGACGAATTAAAATTAAGCGACGACTGTCGATAGACCACAAAAAATCAATGCAAAATTATGTGTTTTTTTAATTATAATTAATTTTTAAGAAATAAATAGGAATGATTAAAAAATTATTCAGAACAAAATACGGGAACAAATATAATATGTTTTCTCATTTTGATTTATATTTATTTCATTCAATATCTTCGAATAATAATAAAACATGGCGAAAAATGCGCATTATAACAACCCTGTTTTTGCAATTTTGCAAGATTTTTAGCAAAATATTATGAACATATGGCAACGCTACAACATGAAAATGAGAGAAAAATGAGAGGATTGCCAGCGAGCGCAATACAAATAAAATAGAATCCAAAGTATATTAATTATAAGGTAGTGTTAACAGAGCAGCTGATTGTTTTTTCCTAATACACTGGATTTTTTTTATATGTAGTTTGACAGTGTGCTGGCACTTTGAAGTGTAGGCATGCTGTCAAACTCCATATATAAAAAATAAAATGAATTCGCTCCGTATTTCTGAATTCGCCGACGACACTACCTTATAATTAATATATCTTGATAGAATCCAAGGTATATTTATTTTATAAGGTAGTGTTAAGGGCGAATTCAAAAAAACTTGGGCGAATCGAAATACAACACTGTACAGTATTTGTTTTTGTTTAGGCGAATTCTGGTGTAGGCACAATGTCAAAAACAGCTGATTTATAATATGAGGCGAATTTGTAAAAATTAAAAAAAAAGTTGTTTGTAAATAAAAGATTTTTTGAAATATAATAAAATTGTTAAAATTCTTCGTAAGTAGCCAAAGAATTTGTCCAGCGTTTAGAAAGTTGTTTAATGATTTTCCCTATTAGGAACACTCTTCGGTCTAGACAAGAAAATGCTAAAATAACGTTTGTCGGCTGATCAGTGGAAGGCTTGTTTGCAGCAGAAGGACACAAAGGCTCAACAATTATTTATGGATATAATTATTTTAAATAATTGCCTTTTCAAGTTTTTAGTGAAATCTTAAACTACATAGAACTAAAACAGAATGGAATATATATCGTCAGTATATTATTGTTTTGCTCCACCGACCATTTTTGAAAAAAATTATGTTTCTATATATTTTGGAGGTGCTCTTACCGATTCCGAAACCCGTATCTCGATATCATCTATAGTTTGCCAGATATTTTAGATTTTTGGGGTAATTTTGGCCTTTTTCGCGATTTTGATTTTTTTGAACCGCACCATTTCACGATATGTTGGAAGATCGTTACCAAATTTTATAGTGGTATTTTGGCTGGTATAAAACTTATGTGTGCTCAATTTAGAATTGATAAATATACATTTCCGATTTTTATGAACGAAAAAGTCATATTCTAGTGCAGATTTATATGGCGGCTAAGGGAATTCATGGTCAGATATTAACCAAATTCTATAAGTACCTCCTTTAGGCCAAAATAAGACTTTGTGCCAAATTTCAACAAATTATCTTTAAAATTGCGACCTGTACCGTGCTAGTTTTTTGCCTTTTGTATGATATAGACCATAAAATGCAAAAAATATTGATATAGACCCTAAAACAAGGTCTTTTGTTTTCTTTAAAAATTTAATAGCTTTTGTTTAATTGTACATTAAGGTATAAAAACTAACAGTTTTATACCTTTTTTTAAAAGCACACTTTAAATGTCAAATTAAAAATATAAACAAACTTTGACATTTTGCATACATTAACCAAACGTAAACAAAGTTTGACATTAACTCTACACCGCGGCGAAAAAACATGAATGTGAGCAAAAAATAGTCAGCTGTTTTGTTAACACTACCTTATAAAATAAATATACCTTGCGACCAAGGTATATTAATTATAAGGTAGTGTTAACAGAGCAGCTGATTGTTTTTTGCTAAAACACTTTTGATTTTTTTTTTACATGTATTTTGACAGTGTGCTGGCACTTTTAAGTGTAGGCATACTGTCAAACTCCATATATAAAAAATAAAATGAATTCGCTCTGTTTTTCTGAATTCGCCGACGACACTACCTTATAATTAATATATCTTGATATCGCCAACCACAAGACGATATTTTGCTCTCCATACAAAATGTATGAAAACTCATTGTCGACAGCGGTTGTGGTTCCAATTGTAATTAAGCTGTTATTGTAAACATAAAGCTGGAGGTCCACACTACGCGTTCTACGCTTTCTCGCATTCTATGCGTCTGTCAAAAAAATAGAATCAATGTATTTGTATGCTGAAAGTTACAAGCACAAAAGCGTAGAATGCCTTAACGCGTAGAATGCTTAAAGTATATCTACTTTTTATTTTTATAAGCGTCACAAGCTGCGCACGAACATGTCAGCTGATTTTGACATTTTATAATGTTTATTTAATGCGTATTTATAAATTTTTATAAAATAAAATGAGTTTATTGATGAAAAAATAAATTAAAGCTGTAGAAAAGTTTTTTAAAAATAAAACAAAAAATTTACGCTTAAAAAGCGTCGCATGTAACTTGAATCGTAGAACGCGAAGGTGGTATGAAAAGCGCGTAATGCTTTGACGACTTAAACTTCAAATCACCTTTATTGTCAGATGGTTAATCAGGTTGACATAAGGAGAAATTGAAACTACCTTCTAATATGTACTATTCACCCTAGTCTTCTTTCGGGCCTGTTATTACCAGTGTATCAGGTGTCAATGGAAACCACGACTACCGCTTTACCAGAGTAGGGCCAAATCTAAAGTTTGTTGTTTTTATATTTGCCTAATCATTAGTTTCTGTATCAAACAAAAACCCTTTTCGGCCGGGCATTACAAATCAACCGCGATTTTAACCAAGCGTTTTTATTTCAGCGATTTTCAGTTGTTGATGTTTTTCGTTTTTGACATTCTCCTTTCAAAAGCAAACAGCTGTTCCAAAAAAATAAAATAACATATTTCTGCAATAAATAATTACTTTTCAGCTCCAAAAACAAGTAATAAAAATAAAAACTTACCAATGACGCTGTTGGAAAACTACGAGCAGCAATATGCAGCATTAATTGCAGAAATCACCAGTCAAATTTTTAGATTGACCCTAACAAATTAACGTAGAGAATTGTGTGCAAAAATCGATGCCAGCTTAACAGAAGCCCAAGAACTGTTGGAACAAATGTGTCTTGAGATCAGAGACCTCAATCCAGCACAAAGAACAACAGCAACTAATAAATTAAATTGTGCCCAAGTAGAATTGAAGCGTTTGCAAACGAAATACTCAAAAGCGAAAGATGCGGATAAGAAGAAACACACAACCTTAGACCTACAGGCAGCTGGAGACTATGAGGATGTGCCATAAGTAATGATCAGAGACAAAGACTGCTGGAAAATTCTGAGACTATAGAAAGAATTTCAAGAAGTTGTTTCGTTGATGTATTTGTTGATTTTTCAATTCTCATAATATTTTATTCGAAATAAAACATTTACTACAAAAGAACTAGAAATAGAGCGAATTATGAAAAGAAAGAATAAACTAGACTGAAACCAGAACTGAACTAGTACAGAAATTGAACTATAACTGAACTAGTTCTGGAACTAAGCTAGTACTAGTTAGTAAGTTAGTTTGAAAGGATATATATATGATGTATATACATCAAATCCGAAGAAATACACCTAGGCCTCTATCGGGCCTGTTGTGCGCTACTTAACCAGTGCCTCAGGTGGGAATCGAACCCACCACCTCCGTTCTACAAGACTAGAACACTAACCACTAACGTACCGGAAGCCACTAGTACTTAAACTGAGATAGAACTAAACAATATGTGAAATTTAAGTAATAAGTAAGTATGAATAGCAAGAACTAAACTAGTACTGGAAGAACTTAACTAAAACTGAACTGAAACTGAACTAGAACTGATCAAGAACTGAACTAGAATTAAACCAGATCTGAATTAGTGCAAAAAGTGAACTAGAATTGTACTAGAACTGGACAAGTAATAGATCTGAACTAGAAGTGAAATATAAATAAACTAGAACTGATCTAGAATTGAACTAGAACTGAACCAGAACTGTAATAGAAGGAAATTAAAACTGAACTTGGACAAAAGCAGAATAAAACATGAATTGAATTTGAACTGAACCGGACCTAAACTAAAACTAAACTGGACTGAAATGTTTATGAACTTGAACTGAATTTAAAACAGAAGATCTCTTGATTAAAGTCAACAACTTTACTTATAGATTTAATAAATAATTTTAATTATTTTTCTCCTTTTATATATAAATAAAAATATAAATTAATAATAACCGAGTTTAGGTGGTTTCCAAAGGATTGGGTGAATGGTAGTGATTCTGCTGAGATCAATGGTATAATAATGGTAACGGCAGTTACTGTCAGATAAAATTCTCAATTTTGCCAATCACAATTATTAAAATTTTATAGAAAAATATTTTTCGACGATATAATTTTAGAATTGTTTTTAAATAAAATAAATTTCCATATGTTTTAACTACATTTTCATAACATAAATAATAATAATAATAAATAATAATAATAATAATAATAATAATAATAATAATAATAATAATAATAATAATAATCTATAATAATAATATATAATAATAATAATAATAATAATAAATAATAATAACATAATAATAATAATAATAATAATAATAATAATAATATATAATAATAATAATAATATAATCATAATCCATATATCCTCCTACTCATAATATATCATACTCTACTCTCAAATACTATCTCCTCCTCAATCCTCCTCCACCACTCACATACTCATTTAAACTCACTTTCATTCCCTATCCTCCTCCTCCTCCTCCTCCTCTCTCCTCCTCCTCCCCCTCTTATCCTCCTCCCCCCTTTCCTCCCCTCCCTTTCCTCCCGGCGTTTGTTCCTGTTGTTCACATGTTCCTAACCCTCACCTTTTTTTCTTACTGAACAGACTTAGTACCGTTAAAAAATGTTAAAAACAATCATTGAAAAACTTTGTAGTTTTTTATGCGTCATCGGATTTTATATCAGCCAGCCGCCGTTTATTTTTTTCGGCGCTGATCTTTGCTCTTGTTTTGAAGAGACTACGTCAGCTGTCCTTTGTGAAGAAAATTCCCAATAAGAAAGAGGAAGCGATTTTTTTCATACGTAAATATTTTAACAAATTGGAAAAAAAGGAATAAAAATTTTTTAAGACGTTAAAACAAATAAAATTGTAATTATTTTTAGAAATTCCCACTAATTAAATACAAAATAATGCAATGCATATAAAATAAAAGTGAAATAAAACGTAATAATTAAGAAAAGAAAAAAATTACATATAGACAGAAAACAAATCACAAGAAAAAACAAGAATAGAAAAAATGTCATTTGTGCGTACGGCAGCAGCAGCGGGTGCTGCCACGGCAGGCAGTGCAGAATCGGTGCAAAAATTTGTTGAGGCTTTACAGTCGGATTTCAAAACATTATCGCTGGAAACTAAAAAGAAATATCCACAAATCAAAGAGGTAATTATAATGATAATAATGTCTTCTTAAATCATGCAAAAGTTATAGATATTTGTGGTTGGTGGTTTGTTTAAGAGTGTGTGTTGGTTATTAGTTATGGAAGTGTGTGGTGACTGCACCCAAATCGAAATAAATTATTTAATTTGGTTTTGTAGAGGGTTTACGTGTAAAGTAGTCTTTATGTTATTTTTTCCATCTACTATTTTTGGGGGGTTGTTTACCTACATGTATGTGTCGCACCGAATCTGGTGGGCAATATATAGCGGTTGCCGAATATGTTTAATATGCTAATGACTTTCAATTGACTTGGTTTTATATTTTTTTCTTTGGAAATTTATTTATTTAATTGATATTGAGTATTTTTGAAGAATGATCAATGTTTTTGAGAACTAGTTTAATTTTTATAGAAATATTTGAACCGTGCTCAAATTTCATCGTAGGATTTGGTTTCAAATTTGAATCCGTTTCTAATTTTATCTATAGTTTGGATGTAGTTTCCAAATTTAGGTCATTCTGAGAGAACTTATTCTTTGTATTTCAAGGAGCAAGTCCGGATTCATTAAATTTTTAATAAAACAGGTTCCAAATTCATGTTATTCTGTAGAGCAGATTCCACATTTATGCTTTTTTATGGTATACGTTTACATTCGTGCTAGTCTACGGAAACCGGTTCCAAATTTATGATTTTCTATAAGATTTGATACATGTTCAGGCTTTTTTGGGGGAAAATTCTTCCAAATTTATTCTACTCTATGAAATGGATTCTAAATTGTTTCCATTTCTGAAAAGCGGTCTCTAATTCAAATGCTTATCTATGGATCAGGTTCAAAATTCATTGCATTTCATTGAATATTTCCCAAGTTCGTGCAATTCTATGAAATAGGTTCCAAATTTGTGCTATTCTTTGGCAAACCGATTCCGAACAAGTTCCACATCTGTACTTTTCTAGTAAAAAGGTTTCAAATTCATGATAATCAATGAAAATTGGTTCCAAATTCATAATTTTCTATGAGACTTGAACCAAATTCTTACTTTTCTATGAAACTGATTCCATATTCATGCTATTTTAGTGAAACTTCTTCCCAATTCAAGCTATTTTATGAAACAGATTCCAAATTCATTGATATTTTAGAAAAACTGGATTTATAGTCATATCTTAGAACAGGTTCCAAGCTAATGCTATTCTACAGAAAATGTCTCAAATTCAAGATATTCTCTGGAAACAGTTTCCAAATTTATTATTTTCAATGTAATATGTTTCAGATTCATGCTATTCGATCGAACAGGTTCAAAATTTATACGATATTCTAGGGGAATTCTAGGAAAACCCGTTCTAAATAGGTTTCAGATTCATTCTTTTTAAGCTTATAATTTGTTATATGTAGTTTTTCTCTAAAAACATTAAAATCAATTAGGCCGAATACTTCTCCAAACCGTATACTTCCTACAACATGTAATCTCTCTTGGCAATACACCACAAAATCTTAAGCTTACTTAAATAAATTGTACATTAACCATCAACTCTATGTAACAAATCATAAATAATTGATTTTCTTTTTGTCTGTTTATTTGTCTTTCTTTTTAAGTATTTGCCTTGAGTTATTGACATAATTATTTATGTTTATTTTACTTTTGATTTATATAATATTTATGTATGTATGTGTGTTTCTTCTTTTCTTTTAGTCCTGTGAAGAGGCAATTTCGAAATTATCCTCGGCCGGTTCAAATCAGCAGCAATCTGTTTACTATACTGTCAATCAAATCTTATACCCTTTGGTTCAAGGATGTGAAACGAAAGATTTAAAAATTATAAAAGTGAGTCATACCGACCAATACCAATACAAAACACTTATCTTATCGTTAACATTTAATTCAAATATTTCTTTTTTTACTTTTTTGCCCTAGTTTTGTTTGGGCATGATGCAGCGTCTTATCACCCAGCAGGTGGTTGATCAAAAAGGTGCACGCTATATAACCGATGCCTTATGGATGTTAATGGAACACAATATAGAAGAGGTTAAAGTTTTACAGACAGTTACCCTCTTACTTACCACCAATACTGTAGTACATGGTGATACTTTAGCTAAATCTCTTGTTTTATGTTTCCGTCTTCATTATACCAAAAATTCTACAATTGTTAATACCGCTGGAGCGACTATACGTCAATTGGTATCATTGGTTTTTGAACGTGTTTACTTGGAAAAGGATTCTATAACATCGATACAACAAAAAGATGCCGCTGGTAATGTTGTAGAGATTGATGTTAGCGATAATAGCGTTGGCGGTAATGGTTCTAATATACCAGGAGCTCCTCATGAAATGTCAACTTTTGCTTCGGATGCCTTTTTCTTGTTTCAGGTAATTCCCCTACATATGTATAATAATTACTTTTTGATAAAAGGTTTAACTTATTTAAGTGTGTTTGTTGTTAATTTTCAACGTTTGTTATCAGCAGTTCGCATTGTTTTTGTTTGATTATAAATATGTATTCATTTTCAATAAACAGTTTGAAATGTAATATTTTTTTTTCAACGTTTAACGTAGTTTTGTTTTGCCTTTTATAATCATTTTCATCATAATACTGCAGTTAATCAACATGTAACGTCACATGTTTTTCTTTTTACATTTGTTGAGAAGAATTATTGCAAACATGTGTATTTTCATATATATTTCATTAGAATATTTAATATTTAATTACTTTAGTGATCTATTTCTTTTTAAATCTTATTAGGGGTCATTGTAATTAATACAAAAATGTTAATATAATTTTAACATTTTATTGAACTTTATCTAAATTCAAGCTATTTTATAAATCTCTATGTAATGGGATCCAAATTCATGCTAATCTGTAGAATAGATTCAAAGTTATTGCTATTTAATGAAACATCCCTTGAATTCGTGCTATTCTTAGGAATATGTTCCAAATTCCCTCTCTTCTATAGAAGAGATTCCATGTTCATTACATTCTAGGAAAACCGGTTAAAAATTCATAGTATTCTGTGGAATAGGTACCATATGTCTGTGGAATAGGTTCCAAATTCATTCAGATTTGTTGAAATTAGTTCTTACTTCTTTTGCGCCTTTGGTAGGTTAGTAGTACGACCTGAGGTCGTAGGTTAGATTTCTATCAGAGACTTTGATAGAAGATCGGTGAACTAACTAACTAACTAACTAACTAACTAACTAACTAACTAACTAACTAACTAACTAACTAACTAACTAACTAACTAACTAACTAACTAACTAACTAACTAACTAACTAACTAACTAACTAACTAACTAACTAACTAACTACTAACTAACTAACTAACTAACTAACTAACTAACTAACTAACTAACTAACTAACTAACTAACTAACTAACTAACTAACTAACTAACTACTAACTAACTAACTAACTAACTAACTAACTAACTAACTAACTAACTAACTAACTAACTAACTAACTAACTAACTAACTAACTAACTAACTAACTAACTAACTAACTAACTAACTAACTAACTAACTAACTAACTAACTAACTAACTAACTAACTAACTAACTAACTAACTAACTAACTAACTAACTAACTAACTAACTAACTAACTAACTAACTAACTACTAACTAACTAACTAACTAACTAACTAACTAACTAACTAACTAACTAACTAACTAACTAACTAACTAACTAACTAACTAACTACTAACTAACTAACTAACTAACTAACTAACTAACTAACTAACTAACTAACTAACTAACTAACTAACTAACTAACTAACTAACTAACTAACTAACTAACTAACTACTAACTAACTAACTAACTAACTAACTAACTAACTAACTAACTAACTAACTAACTAACTAACTAACTAACTAACTAACTAACTAACTAACTAACTAACTAACTAACTAACTAACTATTTCAGTTTCAAATTCTTCTGAAACTGGTTCTAAACTACAAATCCCAAATGCATTATATTCGCTGGAATAGGTTCATTCTATATAAGGCTTCCAAAATCCTTTTTATCCAATTGACATTTTTTCCAATTACTGCTTTAATAAGGAAAAGTTTTAAAATTCCTTATTTTCTCTGAAATAGGTTTCAAATCCATGTTATTCTACAAAAATTGTTCTAATTTCATAGTATTTTATGGAAGAAGGATTCAAATTCATTCAGTTAATGTCTAATTATATTTAAAGTTTAATTTATTAATGAATTTAAAAAAAACAATATAAATTTCTCCCACATATTCCCCTAATCTCTTTACAGGATCTGGTACACTTGGTCAATGCTGATCCCCCGCTTTGGCTAGTGGGCATGAATGAAATGACTCGTACTTTTGGCTTAGAACTATTAGAAGCTGTTCTCACTAATTTCAGTGCCGTATTCCATGAAAATCGTGATTTTCGCCTACTACTCAAGGAACGCGTCTGTGCTTTGGTTATTAAGCTCTTCTCACCCAATGTTAAACACCGTTCATTGCCCACCCAAAATGCCAACGGCAATACACCAAGCGATAAACCATACTTTCCCATTAGTATGCGCCTCTTAAGGCTGGTGGCGATATTAATACAAAAATATCATACTATACTAGTGACAGAATGTGAAATATTTCTATCGTTAATAATCAAATTTCTAGACCCAGATAAGCCTCATTGGCAAAGGGCTTTAGCATTGGAAGTTATACATAAATTGGCTACAAAACCTTCGCTGGTGGCATTCTTTTGTAAATCGTATGATTGTAAGAATCATGCAACAAATATTGTGCAGGATATGATAACGGCATTGGGTACTTATGTGCGTTATTCGTTAATAAATTCGGCGGCATGTAAGTAGTGGAGAAGCGATTTGGGTTAAGAGTAAGACATAACATTTTTATTTGTTTGTGTGTTTACAGTATTGAATGGCCAACAGAATGGTGCCCAACAATTGAATTCATTAACGGCCCACAATTCAAATAATCAATGTGGTTTTGTATTTCGTGGGGCCTATATGCCGCTGGTGGCCACTTTTGCTCCTGGTTTAGCAAAGGCAGTGTAGTAAGTATTTGTTGCAAGAAAAGTTTAAAAAGAATTACTTATTTTCATTAATTACAGCTTGGAAATGTTGGATAAATTGGAGGCCCCTAATATACCCGACAGTTATGGTATTTCAGTGGCCTATGCCATACTTTTGGATATAACACGCTCCATAGGAGGAGTTATACAACGTACACCAGAAGTGGTAATTGAAATTATATTTAAGCCGCCTTTAACAGTTAGTAATGGTTTTATTTTCCAGCATCCCACACATAATATGGCTGTTATTACCGAGGAGGAGCATAAACCTTTATGTCTACAATTAATAAATTCCAGCTGGTCTGGTTTATTATCAGCATTTGTACCCTTAGTTGATGCTTCCATCGATGAAGCCACCACCGATAATATTTTAAAAGCCATGCAAAACTATGCTGCCTTATGCGGCATTATGGATTTACTTAATCCTCGAGATGCTTTTATAATGGCCATATGTCGTGCTTCATTTCCACCTCATTATGCCATGTCCATTTTTGCCAATAATCCACACATGGATGTGGATTTACGCTGTCATACCCGTTCGAATAGTCAAGATTTAAACAATCAATTTATGAGCACTTGTCAGGATACTGGTGATTTTCGCCAGCAGATAGTGGCAGTGGGTACACCACTGCCTAGTGCTTCTCTGCCGCATAGTGTAATGCAGGCACCCGTTATGTTGACCACCAAAAATCTGCAGTGTATGCGCGCTATTTTGTTTTTGGCTCATAGTAATGGCAGTATTTTGGGCACATCATGGCATATTGTCTTACAGACTTTACAGCATTTGGTCTGGATTTTGGGTTTGAAACCCTCAACCGGTGGCAGTTTACAAGCATTCCCCAAGCCCGCTGTGGAAGCTAATGTGGGCATACAAACAGCTGTTATGGCTGATCTACCAGTATTATCACAAATGTTAAGTCAACTCTTCGAATCAAGTCAGTATTTAGATGATGTGGCTTTACATCATTTAATCGATGCTTTGTGTAAATTGTCCCATGAGGCCATGGAATTGGCTTATGCTAATAGGGTAAATATTTTGGATTGTATTATAAAATCTCCACAAAAGTAAACTTTTTTGCCTTTATTCCAGGAACCTTCTCTATTTGCTGTGGCCAAACTGTTGGAAACCGGTTTGGTTAATATGCCTCGCATAGAGGTATTATGGCGTCCTTTAACCAATCATCTTTTGGAAGTTTGTCAACATCGCCACATACGTATGCGTGAATGGGGTGTAGAGGCCATTACTTATTTGGTGAAGTCTGCTTTGCAATACAAACACAGTCAACCGTTAAAAGAGAATATGGTAAATCGAAAGTTAATTCCGAATCTATTTCAGCTGTAATTCTAGTTCAGTTCAGTTCTAGTTCAGTTCTAGTGCAGTTCTAGTTCAGTTCTAGTTCAGTTCTAGTTCAGTTCTAGTTCAGTTCTAGTTCAGTTCTAGTTCAGTTCTAGTTCAGTTCTAGTTCAGTTCTAGTTCAGTTCTAGTTCAGTTCTAGTTCAGTTCTAGTTCAGTTCTAGTTCAGTTCTAGTTCAGTTCTAGTTCAGTTCTAGTTCAGTTCTAGTTCAGTTCTAGTTCAGTTCTAGTTCAGTTCTAGTTCAGTTCTAGTTCAGTTCTAGTTCAGTTCTAGTTCAGTTCTAGTTCAGTTCTAGTTCAGTTCTAGTTCAGTTCTAGTTCAGTTCTAGTTCAGTTCTAGTTCAGTTCTAGTTCAGTTCTAGTTCAGTTCTAGTTCAGTTCTAGTTCAGTTCTAGTTCAGTTCTAGTTCAGTTCTAGTTCAGTTCTAGTTCAGTTCTAGTTCAGTTCTAGTTCAGTTCTAGTTCAGTTCTAGTTCAGTTCTAGTTCAGTTCTAGTTCAGTTCTAGTTCAGTTCTAGTTCAGTTCTAGTTCAGTTCTAGTTCAGTTCTAGTTCAGTTCTAGTTCAGTTCTAGTTCAGTTCTAGTTCAGTTCTAGTTCAGTTCTAGTTCAGTTCTAGTTCAGTTCTAGTTCAGTTCTAGTTCAGTTCTAGTTCAGTTCTAGTTCAGTTCTAGTTCAGTTCTAGTTCAGTTCTAGTTCAGTTCTAGTTCAGTTCTAGTTCAGTTCTAGTTCAGTTCTAGTTCAATTCTAGTTCTAGTTCAGTTTTTGACCTTAAGTTCGAGATTGAAAAATACAGACTTATAAAAAATATTTCATTCCTCATCCTTTCTCTTTATTTTAACAGAATTTGCAAACCATGCTCTTAAGCCCTCTCTCCGAATTGTCAACCGTTCCCCATGCTGATGTACGACAAAGACAATTGGATTGTGTATTACAAATTTTAAATGGTGCCGGTGAGATATTATCATTTGGTTGGCCAGCTATTATCGAAATAATCGGAGCTGTCAATGAACATCATGGTGAACCTCTAATACGTACAGCATTTCAATGTTTACAATTGGTTATAACGGATTTCTTGACTGTTATGCCTTGGCGTTGTTTGCCCTTGTGCATCAGTACAGCGGCCAAATTTGGTTCACAAACACAAGAATTAAATATTTCCCTAACAGCCATAGGTTTAATGGTAAGTTGAAAAGTTTCAGGGATTAAAATTAACATTAAATTTCTCTTTTCTATCATTAACTTTAGTGGAATATTTCGGACTTTTTCAATCAAAATCAAGACAAATTAATGTCTACCCAAGTGGATGACTCCACCATATTACCAGATTTTCCTGGTACAGTTAAAATGCCACAATTTGATAAGTTATGGATGTGTTTATATGCCAAATTAGGTAATAATATTTAAATGGTAAAAAACTGGAGAACAAAAAACAATTTTTATGATTTTTTTTTAAAGGTGAACTTTGTGTGGATTCACGTCCTGCTGTACGCAAGTCTGCGGGGCAAACTTTATTTTCTACTATATCGGCTCATGGTAGCCTGTTAAATCCGCCCACTTGGCAGGCTTTAGTTTGGCAGGTTTTATTTCCTTTGCTGGACAATGTTAGAGCTCTTTCTAGCTCGGCTAGTAATGAGAAAGTGGATGCTAGTGGCAATATTTTAATACATCATTCCCGTAATACCGCCCAAAAACAATGGGCAGAGACACAAGTTTTAACTTTGTCAGGTGTTTGTAGGGTAAGTTTTTTATTATTAATCTCTATCTCTCATAGATTAGTGTTTATAGAAGACTGTCTTCTATAGATCAGTGTTTATAGAAGACTCTTCTATAGATTACTGTCTATAGAAGATTGTCTTCTATAGATCAGTGTTTATAGGAGAAAGTCTTCTATAGAGCAGTGTCTATAGAAGAATGTCTTCTATAGATCACTGTATATAGATCACTTTCTATAGAAGACTGTCTTCTATAGATCACTTTCTATAGAAGACTGTCTTCTATAGATCACTTTCTATAGAAGACTGTCTTCTATAGATCACTGTCTATAGAAGACTATCTTCTATAGATCACTGTCTATAGAAGACTACCTTCTATAGATCACTGTCTATAGAAGACTGTCCTCTGTAGATCACTGTCTAAAGAAGACTATCTTCTATAAATCACTTTCTCTAAAAGACTGTCTTCTATAGACCAGTGTCGGTGCTCTATAAATCGTTCCATAGATCAGTGTCTATAGAAAACTGTCTTCTATTAATCAGTGACTATAGAAGACTGTCTTCTATTGATTAGTCAGTATAGAACACTGCCTTCTAAAGATCAGTGTCTATAGAAGACTTCTGTAAATCAGTGTCTATAGAAACTGTCTTCTATATATCAGTCCCTATAGAAAACTGTCTTCTATAGATCAGTGTCTGTAGAAAACAGCCTTCTATAGATCAGTGTCTATAGAAGACTGTCTTCTTTAGTTCAACTGTCTTCTTTAGATCGGTGTCTATTGATCTTTATATCAGTGAAGACTGACTTCTATAAATCAGTGTCTATAGAAGGCTGTCTTCTATAGATAAGTGTCTATAGAAGACTGTCTTTTATAGATCAGTGTCTATAGAAAACGGTTCTATAGATCAGTTTCTATAGTAGGCGGACTTTTATAGATCAGTATCTATAGAAGACGATCTTTTATATATCAGTGTCTACAGAAAATGATCTTCTATAGCTCAGTTTCTATAGAGGATGGGGGAGCAGATCGTTTTCTTTTCTTTGTAAATTTCCTTAAAAACTTTGTATCCTTTCAGGTTTTCAATACTAAACGAGATTTAATACAAATGTTGGGCGATTTTGATCGTGCCTGGTCTTTAATATTGGAATTCATACAAAATGCTGCTCTAAGTAAAAATGGTGAAGTATCATTGGCCGCTTTAAAATCTCTCCAAGAAATTATGTATCATAATGCTGATCCCAAACAGTGTGGTGGTGGTGGTGGCGATAAAGCGGGTGGTGATAAAGCCAAATTGAAAAGTGAAGAAATTTGGAATGTAAGTAATGTTTCCTTGGAAGCTTTTGAATCAAATTTTTATTTGTATTAATCTTTAAAGATCGCCTGGAAAATTTGGCTTAATATTGGCATGGAGAGTACAAAAATGTCGGCAAAATCTCAAGACTCTAGCCAGGAAGAATTCTATATACCAAGTCAAGCTTATTTGACAGCACTAATGCAGATATTCCCGGCCATATTTCAGCAAATACAAAAAAGGTGAGGGTAACAGTTTTTGCAGAATCATTTTCTAATTTTCTTAAAAAAATTAATACCTTATTCTGTTTACAGATTTAAACCAACTGATTTTGATAAATTCTGTACAGTCCTAACCAATGCCGTTTGTATACCCGTACAAACCGAAGCAGTTCCTTACATAATGTCTTCAGTATCGGATTCATTATTAACTCCACTACACGATAGTATCCTAGAATGTATGGAATTGATACAAAAGGTTGGCTCTGTTCAGATAAAAATAAACTTTATTTTGACTAAATTAAAAATCTCCCTTTAGGAAGCCACAAAAGATGAATCCAATTTAAGTCATATGATTCCTGCTATATTCCGTCAATTGTTGGTATTTAGTAAATTTGCCTGTACGCCACCCACTTTGCAGGTTAGCGAACAGCATAAATATGCCAAAACAACGAATCATTATGGTAACAATAGTTCAGTGGAGGTGGTTAGCATGAATTACATACCATTTGGTGAGAAATCCATAAGTATATGTGTAAAATTGTATCAAACTACCGCCATGGAGGAATCAGTTATGCAGGAGCATATTTTACATGAAATAATTAAGGTACTGGACCGGAATCATAACATCTTTTAATCCAACTTAATCGATATTTTATTTTACTCAGGCTTTACGCACTCCTTTAGCTATGAAATATAAATGTTTGGCCTCTAGTACTTGGAAACTAGCTATCTCAAGTTTAATCACTGTTCTACATACCGGCTTAAAAGTGGCCAGAGCGAAACCAAATCATTTTACTGGCATGTGGGATGATTTAGCCGATACTCTAGATAAATTTTTATTCCCTCAAAGGTTTTTTTTAACTTAAACTTTAACAATTATACTTTTCTTTTTACAATCTATTGTATTATCTCTTTAGTGTCTGCACCATTGAAGATCGTGGCCTTGAAGAAATTGTCCTAGACGAAACCATCGATTGTCAAGTTATTGAATTATTACGTGACGAAGTTTTGCCTTATGCCCATGAAATGCCTCATCAATTTATTATGCAAATTGTGGTATTACTTAATAAGGGCTCCATACATTCCGCTTCAGATACGAATATTTGCTATGAATCCGATTGGAAATTACGTGAAATTTTTGCCAAAACATGTTTTGAAACCCTTTTGCAATTTTCTCTATTAGATGATAATTGTAATAATAATCGCTCCTCAACTTCGAATACTTCATTGGCTTCTAGTTCGGCGGTAAATGCTTTAAATGCTAATATAGCGAATGCAGTTGGTGGTGCGGGTAGTGGTGGTAAGGATTTTGCTGGTCGTTTAGCGGTTACCGCTTTACTACATCGTTTCCAAGAGGTGCTGAAACGTTTCAACGATGACGAAAGACAGAGTGGGAAATGTCCTTTGCCAAGGTGAGTTTTTTTCTTTCTCACAAATGAAATTTTAACAAAATTGGATAATTTGATAAGTTTTGGGCACTAGGCGATCATATTTAATAGAAGATCGATAGATTTTTCCATAGAAGACCGTTATCCTTAGATTCTGTTCTATATAAGATCATCTTCTATAGACTCTGGTTGATAGAAGATCATGTTAAATAGACATTAGTCTATAGCAAATCGTCACATATAGAGTCTGATAGAAAATCATTTTCAATAGATATTGTTCTATGGCAAATCATTTTCTATAGACTCAGATCTAAAGAAGATCCTCATCTATATACTTTGATCTATAGATGATCGTCTTCTGTAGACTGATTGATAGAAGACATTGTTCTATAGTAAATCGTCATCTATAAACTCTGATCTAAAAAAGATCGTCACCTTTAGACTCTGATCTATAGATTATCTCTCTTAAAAGGTAGTCTTCTACAGAATCCTATAGAAGATCGTCTTGTATAGATTATTATGTACTACAGATCGTATTCTATATACCCTGGTCTATAGAACACTATGGTCTATAGAAGACCGTGTTCATTAGACTTTGCTTTTAGAATGTCGCCTTCTATAGGCTCGCAGCTATGAAATATCATTCTCTATATAGAAGATCCTCGTCTACAAATTTGATCTATAAAAGGTCGTCTTCTATAGACTCTCGTGTAATGAAGATCGTTATTTATAGATTATGGTCTTGTTTAGACTAGTCTATAGAGAATCACCTTTAATAAACATTGAGAATAGTCAACTTTAGACTCTATCTATAGAAGAATATAGTGTTCTATAGACTCTCCCAAGATCGTTCGTTTATTCGCCCCATATAATCGTCATTTATAGACCTCTTGTCTTCTCTATCGCCACGGATCTATGGAAGATTGTCTTCTATCGTCACTGATCTATGGAAGATCATCTTCTATCATCACTGATCTATAGAAGATCGCCTTCTATAGATACTGATCAATAAAATATCGTTTCCTATAGATACTGATCTATAAAAGATCGTCTACAGAAGGTAGTCTTCTAAAAATACTCATCTATAAAATATCGTCTATAGACTACCATATAAAAGATCGTCTTCTATCCTCACTCATATATAGAAGATCGTCTTCTATCGTCACTGATCTCTAGAAGATCGTCTTCTATAGATACTGATCAATAAAAGATCATCCCCTATAGATACTGATCTAAAAAAGATGGTCTTCGATAGTTACTCGTCTATTGAATGTCATATTGAAACACTGATCTATAGAAGATCTATAGATACTGATTTACCAAATATCGTTTTTATAGACACTCATCTATAAAAGATCGTTACAGAACAACGTATTCTATAGATACTGATCTATAAAAGATCATCTTCTGTACAGAAGGACGTCTTCTATAAAAACTGATCTTTAGAAGGTCGTCTTCTATGGACACTGAAAATTGTCTTCTAAAGATCTTCTGGAGACACTGATTTATATAAAATAGTCTTTATTGATATTGATCTATTGTCTTTATTGATATTGATCTATTATACATTTATAAACTCTTACAGATTCCGTTTATCAGAAATATCGTTTGTTTTGAAAGCCATCGCCACCTTGGTAATCTCTATGAAAAAGGCGCCAGCCTCTAAAGGTAATTTAAACAAAAGAAGTACAAACATTTTCCTTAATTGCATTTTTAACAAACAACTTTTATAATATTACAGTTAATAAACCCGCATGGGATCAATTAATTGGTCTTTATCCCTATTTAGTGGATTGTACCACAACCACCTCACCCGAGGTATCACGTTCTTTGAGAGAAGCTTTACTACAATATACCGACTTATTGCAGGCGCCAAAATGTTTAACTAGCGATAGCAACAGCACCAACCTTTCCCCAACAAACGAATTGACAACACAACAACAACAATCGAATGGACAAGAGTGAAAAATATTTTAATATTTAAGCTAAACTAAAAGAAAAACAGAACATTTTAAACCAAAACTCTTTCAAAACTTATTTTGAGACTCGTAATATTTATTTATTTTTATTACTATTTTTAAAAAAATTTTGTTTTTAACAAAATCCCAAAAATATTGCAAATTTAAGTTTAAAATTTTTAATTCCAAATAAAAGAAAAACCGAAGCAAAATACATAAAAAATATAATAGATATTAACAAAAAATAAACAGTAAATAGCAATTATACATAAAACTTTATATACACAATAACTACAACAACTACACCTGGTTAATAATTTATATACTTACTTACATAAGTATGTATGTATGTAGTATATACACCAAACCAAATAATATAAACAAATATTAAACTAATAAATAACCAGCATGTTTTAAGGGAAATGATTTTAAAAGTCTATTTTCCTTGAAATATGCTTAACAAATATGCTCTTTCCTAAAACTGGTCAAAATTTTCGGGTTTTATTTAGATTGCAAAGATTTAAGATTTACAACTTTTGCTTTAGTTTGAATTTTAATCGAAATCTAAGTTTGACTAGTTTGGAAAGAGGTTAAAAATATTAATTAAAAATACAGTGAAGACCATACGACCATATATATTTCAATGATTAACTGTTAAATATTTCGTCACTGGCTCAAAATCCTTCATGGTCTATAGTTTTCGAATGATAACTCATCGAACTATTGAGAAATTAAGATTTCAGTATATCTTCAGAATTCAACATGGCATCTTTTATAGACTCTAGTTTTTAGAAGAGTATCTTCTATAGCCACTTGTCTATAGAAGAGTGTCTTCTATAGATACTAGTCTATAGAAGAGTATCTTCTATGGCCATTTGTCTATAGAAGAGTGTCTTCTATAGACACTAGTCTATAGAAGGGTGTCTTCAATAGAAACTAGTCTATAGAAGAGTGTCTTCAATAGAAACTAGTCTATAGAAGAGTGTCTTCTTTAGACATTGTCTATAGAAGAATGTCTTGTATAGACACTAGTCTATACAAGAGTGTCTACTACAGACACTAGTCTATAGAATGGTGTCTTCCATAGACATTAGTATATAGAATGCTATCTTCTATAGCCACAAGTCTATAGAATGGTGTCTTCTATAGACATTAGTCTATAGAAGAGTGTCTTCTATAGACACTAGTCTATAGAATGCTGTTTATTTAGACACTATTCTATAGAAGAGTGTCTTCTATAGACACTAGTCTATAGAATGGTGTCTTCTATAGACACTGGTCTATAGAACGCTGTCTTCTATAGACACTATTCTATAGAAGAGTGTCTTCTATAGACATTAGTCTATAGAGGAATGTCTTCTATAGACATTAGTCTATAGAAGAGTGTCTTCTATAGTCTATAAAAGAGTGTCTTCTATAGACACTAGTCTATAGAAGAGTGTCTTCTATAGACACTAGTCTGTAGAAGAGTGTCTTCTATAGACACTAGTCTATAAAAGAGTGTCTTCTATAGACACTAGTCTATAGAAGAGTGTCTTCTAAAGACACTAGTCTATAGAAGAGTGTCTTCTAAAGACACTAGTCTATAGAAGAGTGTCTTCTATAGACACTAGTCTATAGAAGAGTGTCTTCTATAGACACTAGTCTATAGAAGAGTGCCTTCTATAGACACTAGTCTATAGAAGAGTGTCTTCTATAGACACTAGTATATAGAAGAGTGTCTTCTATAGACACTAGTCTATAGAAGAGTGACTTCTATAGACACTAGTCTATAGAAGAGTGTCTTCTATTGACACTAGTCTATAGAAGAGTGTCTTCTATAGAAAAGTGTCTTCTATAGGAACTAGTGTATGGAAGAGTGTCTTCTATAGACACGAGTCTATAGAAGACGCTCTTCTGTGTTTTCTCTTGACACTATTCTATGGAAGAGTGTCTTCTATAGGAACTAGTGTATGGAAGAGTGTCTTCTATAGACACGAGTCTATAGAGGAGTGTCTTATATAGACACTAGTCTATAGAAAAGTGTCTTCTATAGACACTAGTCTATAGAAAAGTGTCTTCTATAGGAACTAGTGTAAGGAAGAGTGTCTTCTATAGACATGAGTCTATAGAAGAGCGTCTTCTATAGACTCTAGTCTATAGAATAGTGTCTTCTATTGACACTATTCTATGGAAGAGTGTCTTCTATAGACACTAGTCTATGGAAGAGTGTCTTCTATAGACACTAGTCTATAGAAGAGTGTCTTCTATAGTTACAGGTATATAGTCATCTGTAATCTATAGTTACTAGTCTGTAGTAGTGTGTCTTCTATAGGCACTAGTCAATAGAAGAGTGTCCTCTATAGACACTAGTCTATGGAAGAGTGTCTTCTATAGACACTAGTATATAAAAGAGTGTCTTCTTCTGGCTATCTTATTTGCTAAATATATCCTAACTCCATAACATTCTCTCACTGTATTTTTTAAAAAGCAAAAACAATTTATTAAAATTTTTTTAACAATTTACATAGTGATTTATTAAAATAAAACTTAAAACAAAACAATATATTTTGACATTTTACCTTTTTAAACAAAACAAAAAAATAATAATAATAATAATAAACCGATATTTAATATTCAAAATAACAACAAAAATCGAAAATCTAAGCATTTTATTGAAACGTAAAAGTAATAATAACAAAAATAAAAGAAGTACCTTTTCTCTTACTTTCCTTTAATTATTTAAAATGTTATTAGTTAATATAATTTAAAATATTCATAAATTGAGTTTATATTATTAATATTGACGCACTATTAAAAATAGTTTTCTTTTTTATCTACAACTCCCAAAAAAGGCTTTAATATTTTATTGTCTAAAATATTTTGATGATTTTACGACAATTTAAGCTTTAATTTAGTTTAAATTTTTTTTTTTATTTTTATTATTTGTTTTCTTTGTAACAAAAGCTTAATTAATTATTATGCGAAACCACTCTCCATAGTAAAGTAAGTCTGCAAAACGAAACGGATTGCAATATAATGAATTGACACATTTAAACAATGTCTATAAATCTTCTTAAACACATTTGCTAGCCTTGCAAATATACTACGAAGAGTGTTTTCCCTATAGTAACTTGTTTTAGTTATTATTTTTTTTAATAATATTTTCTATAAATTATATTTAAAAGCAAAATATTATTAAAAACATAAAACATTACTCTACAATTATATACAATCTATAAAATGGAATATTCCAATAAAAAAAACATAAATTAAAATTTACAAGTTTTAAAGAAAGCAAGAATATTAAAAACAACAGATAAATAAAACAAATTACAAATAAATACAAACAACAACTTTGTAGTGAACGTTTTTATTATTATGATAAATAACTAAGAATAAAAATTTGTAAAATCAATTTAAAAAATGTGTTTTTAAAATAATCAACAAAAGGTTCAATACTAGTCCACTCGTCGGGGTAAGCATTTCCTCTTTATTAAATACTTATAATCTCGGGGGAGTTTTCCACTTTTTCCTATCAAAAGCGTCCCCGGGTGACAGATAAGGGGTGGTGATGGGTAATGGCATGGAGAATTCAAATTTTGTAAAAGTACTAACTTATTACAAAAATAATCTAGTCTATAGTTTAGTCTATAGTCTAGTCTATCGTCTAGTCTTATAAGTCTAGTCTATAGTCTAGTTCTATCGTCTAGTCTATAGTCTAGTCTATAGTCTAGTCTATAGTCTAGTCTATAGTCTAGTCTATCAGTCTAGTCTATAGTCTAGTCTATAGTCTAGTCTATAGTCTAGGTCTATATAGTCTAGTCTATAGTCTAGTCTATAGTCTATAGTCTAGGTTGAAAAAGGTACCACCGCGAAATAAGGCCAGAACGGCAGGTGTTCACGTGAAGCACTTCGACATATCTCTCTCTCGGCTTCAATTGTTTTGGTAACTCTATTTTACTCGCCATAACTTTTGGTGGTATTTCAGTGGTATTTTTAAGTTATAAACCTAATATTAAGATCAAGGAATATAAAATGATTTTTCTATACAATATAATTTTCCGATCCTATAAAATATATACGTATATTCTTGCTCCTTATAGATAGCTGAGTCTGTTGATCTACTATCTCAATAGCCCAGATATAATAATAGTTCAAGGCCCATAATCTATCATAATAATTCTATCAGGCATGTTTTCGAGAAGTTTCTTAATCAATATAATCAAAATTGAGACAAATTTTGTCATAAGATTGACAATTATTAGAATCGGTTCAAAATTTTATATAGCGCCCATACACATTTACGAAATGTACATACATTAACTGCTGAAACATTGTAGGCAGTGTGACCATTTTGGCATTTTTGCAGCTAGATTTAGCATTTTTTGTTTTGATTTAGCTGTAAAATTTTAATTTAGCATTTGGCATTTTATTTAGCATTTTTGTTGTCACGTTTTTTTTTAATTAAAAAAAATACATAAATTTCGAAAATATTATTGACAATTTATTCCAGAATTACAAACTTACGGATTTGAATATATCTCTCAATTCATTTCATACATTCTCATATATATTTTTCCGAAAAAATCTTGGACATGAAAACCATTTTTAAAGTGTTTTGAGAAAGACAAATAAAATTGTTTATATAAAAAAAGTAAAACTAGAAATATTATACTTTTCCTTCCGAAAACACATATAGGTTTTATACCATGAGCAACTAGTGTAATTAATTTAGTTTTAATGTAATTTTTGCATTCAGAAATATTTTAAAGTTAGAGACATTACATATTGCTAAATTTACAAAAATTTTGAAATAATTTTTAGCATTTCTGTTTATCTTAATACCGCGGAACTTAATTTTTTACCCTACTCCACTATACTACGTTTGAGTATACTAATCGGTTAAGAATCATTTTCTGAATCGATTAAGCCATGTAAGTCTGACCGTCTGGTAGAGGTTGAAATTTTCAAAACAATAAGCACGTATGCTTTTTGATCCAATGACAAAACCTTTTAAAAATGGTTAAAGTCCGTCCTTTATTTTACCTAGCCCCCATACATATACAAATGTATAAAGCCTTTCTCAGAAAATTAGTTTAAATATATCGGAACCAAGGTTCAATTCAACATAAATGCTTTATTACGAAAAATAAATCAAATTTTATACTCATATGGTCAACCACGGCAGAATATACTTTCTTACTTGTTATAAATTACAATGAATTTCAGTTACAAATTAATATGAATTGTTCATAAAAACACTTAAAAAATTTTAGCACTTTTTTTTTTTTGCATTATAAAATCAATTTAGCATTTTTTCTAGCATTATTTTGGATGGGATTTAGCCGCAACATTTTTTGAGACCTGGTCACACTGATTGTAGGCCCATTTGTAAATAATAATAGCGTGATATTTTTCTATTGTTTTCTGATAAAGATATTTTTAATAATTTTTGTGTACAAATGTTATTTAAGTATTATTTAACATTTTAGTTATTATTTAAGCTAATATGAACTAGCTACTGTTTTATTTTTTGTTCAAACAAAATTTTATCAAATGTCAAATTTTTATCTTAAAGCTGCACAGCTACAGTCATTTCCTATTTATTTAAGATTATTTAACACATGTCTAGTCATTTTTGCCTTAGAAGTAAAAATTAAATTGTGATTAAATTTAACTTAAATTTTTGAAGCTATACCCTGTCCACATCGCTTTTCTTGTGATAATATAAGTAAAGCGTAAGTCACTAGCATTTATACTATAGTATTTACTTTACATGACCTCTATTAGTAATTTGCCCATATTTAAGGGTAATGTGTTATTAGTCGAAATGCTTAAAAAATAAAAGATTTAAAAGAACTCTGAATATTGCGTATGAGTGTTGAAGTACTTTACTATTTGCATGTTAATCATACGCCTTAACGATCGTTTGTTTATTAAGATGGCAATCGATAGAGGCGTATGAGTGATACTTTATTTAACTAATTAAATATCAATCATGCGCCTGAGATATTGTTTAGATGGATGCACAGACGAGTAAGTTCGGTGCTGTTGCCGTAGTCAACAGATATCCCACAGATGAGCAACGGCGTAACAATAGTGAGAGATTGGTTAGCTCAAGTACTTGAGCAAAGTGCTGGTACATGGATCGACACAACTATGTACAAAAATTGCCACCTGAGTGTAAGCTGAACAAGATCACCATGAAATAGGCCAACACG